GGGGGCCAAAATTTTAAAATTAATATAAAAGCATATTATTATCTATAATTTTTGTTTATTTTTGATGTTTATGATAATTAATTGTTTATGTAATTTTATAACTTTAAAAATCTTATATAACAAATTACATATAATTATATAATATTGATATGGAAAAATTTAAAAAGTGAAAAGTGAAATTATATATCTATAAAATTAATCATAACAAATATAAATAATATAAAAAACTACATATATGATATATTCAAAAAAATCTTTATTTATACACATTCTCAATTTAATAATAATTTTTATGTGTTATTTTTTTTTTCCAGTGGAAATAGAACAGAGAGTTCTAAACCCTTACATCATAAGATAAAAGCTCATAAATAAACGAAAGGGGGTTTGAGAAGAACACTACCCCATCTCTTTGATCTATGGCCTCCTTTGCAAGTCTCTCTATAGCAATATTAACCTTGCGACTACACCATTTCACACTAGCACACCAGTCCCAAGATAACATACTTTTAATTTCTATGATTAAATCACGATTAGGATGGAGATTTGAATTAACACCCCTCAAAGCTTTGATTGCCTCAGTACATTTTGATTCAACCTCTACCATTTGCCAGCCAGTATCCCAAGCTCTCTTGGGAGCCTAATAGATCATCCATAACTCAGCTTACACACTACTCCTATGGCCAATGTGATACATAAATCCACTAAGGACTTTTCCCGTATGGTCACAACAAGCTCTATCCACATTGTATTTTATGACTCCAATATTTGGTGCACTCCACTTATTAATGTCACAACTTAAATGATCTGCAAGCAAACTTGGGTTAGACTACTTCACCATTGCTTGAGTCTGTACAAGAATGTTATATATCCCCTTCTCTTTGTGTTCAAACACTCTCAAGTTGCTACTTAGCCATAATTGTCAATGAAGAATAGAAAACCATACAGTCCAACTAACACCTGTCACATTACTTCTTTGGGAAAGATTCCAAGCAATCCATTCAACATGATCATTATGAGAAATGAAATTTACTTGCATTGATTTGCCACTAAACAATCTCTTAGGTTATAAAGAATGCCTTCACAACAATTAGCACATTGTTCACATGCATCTGATGACTGGAGACCCCTAGCTTTTTGAAGACAATTGGTCATTATCCTTCCTCTAATGCAAAACCATAAAAAAGTTTCGTTATGTTATGGAATAGGTGCCTTCCACTCTTTCCTCCATAATTGCTTATGGGAGGTTTCACTTCTTGGGCACAGATTGAGGTAAGCTGATTTTGTACTGAACAACCATTAGTCAACCACTTCCATCTTGGTTCATCATCTACATCCCTACAAGACACATTGTACATGGCATTAAGAATGTTAGCGGGGAGATATTCTTTAAATTTCTCCTGCAGCTATCCACTAAACACTAAGACATACTAGGCCACCTTGTCCTTACATAAAGACTTAGGTACCGATTTACTAGCATAAGATAAGAGGGGTTCATGATGAGGAAGCCAACTATCCTTCTAGAATCTAATAGATAAACCATACCCCACTTGCCAAGCAATCCCTTTCAAAGTCTCTTCCCATGTTTCCTTAATTTCATGCTATGCTCTAAAACCATTCTTATGACCTTCAACCTTGGGAATAATATCATTGCCATAACGATATTTTTCCCTCATAAGCTTGACCCACAAAGTTTCTCTTCTATTAATCAATCCCTTTCAAGGCTCTATTTTGATGATGAGCCTTTCTCAAGCCAAGACCACCATCCTCCTTATGTTGACAAATATCTTCCCAAGCCACTAAGTGCATCTTTTTTTTGGAATTTGTCTCTCCCTAAATGAATCATCAACATCTCTTATCAATCTCATTATATATATGAATAGGCAAAAGGGCTAATTGCATCGTATAGCTAGGAATGGAAACTACCACTAAAGATACTAAAGTGTGTCTAGCCGCCATAGACAAAGTATTAGCTTTCTAGGAAGACAATTTGCTATCCATTTTATTCAGTACATATTGGTAAGTAACTTTCGACACCTATTTATGATGTAACGGGATCCCCAGATATTTAAATGTGTTGTTTTAAATAGTTTTAATTGCAAAAACATGAAGATTAGCATGTATAATATAGATATTAAGTATCATTTTATTTTTAGAAATAAATTTTTGGATTTCACAAAAAATAGTAAAATAATAAATTATATATTTCATTTCATTCAAAGTATATTAATATATATATATATATAGATACTCACATTGATGTATGTGTATAATTTAGTTTTAAGATTTTTCTATATTTATTTCCCAAATCATGCCAATATAACTATTTAGATTATATTTGAGTAACATTTGACTTTGAATATGCCTATGGAAGAAAGCGCATCAAATATGGCAAATCTTTTGGTTTGAGGAGGGGGTCAAGCCACACATATATTATAATATTTATACAAAAATTGCTTGAGGTTGTGAATAATGTCAAACAATTACAAAGCTAATGAAAACCTAGGGTTTAAGTTTTGAGTGGCGGAACCTGAAGGGGCATGGCCCCCTTAAGCATAACGTAGTTTCACCATTGGTTGTTGTCATTATAATAACTTATATTTATTAATTCCATTTCACTCTTGTTCACTAGTTAATGAAGTATATGGTTGTAGTGAATGAAGTATATAATACTTGTAACTCATTATAACTCACGTGGTTCACTAGTTAATGAAGTATATGGATGTTGTCAATGGAGTATACGGTTATAGTCAATAAAGTAAACGATTGTTGTTAATGGAGTATATAGCAGTTGTAACTCATACTGGTTCACTAGTTAATGGAATACATGGTTGTTGTTAATCGAGTATATAGTTGTTGTCAATTTCATTTCACCAAGCTTGTCTCCCAAAGTTTAACTCACCCTCCCTCTTGACAAAACATCAAAAGCAACCTATATCTATAACATAAATACTTCTTGATAAAACACATTAACTTTCTTCTTGCAACACAAAAAAATAAAATAATGAATTACAATACAGCACATAATCATTTAATTAATAACTCTTTCAGAATTAAAGTATGACTTCTCAATGAAACATTAGTTATCAAGAATATCATTGAGAAAAAAAATAAACAAGTCCAGCTTGCAATAAAGATGTTATTAAAAGAGAAGAATAACGAGAATATTAGACAAAGAAACAAATAAAGATGAAACCTTAGTCTAAATAGAAAACACAGAGATATAGACAATGAAGCTCTGATAGGAGAATATGGTGAGGTAATAGAATTGATTGGTAGAAGAGTGGTGAAAGCCACTGAGAATGGAAGAATTCGACGGCCATGAAACTGAGAGAAGGGTGGTTAGTGACGAACTTCGGAGGAGGTGAAAAAGAGGAACAGAGATTCATGTGTTATGGGTTTGAGATTTTAGTGGGTTCATGGAGGGAACTGAATGATTTTCTTGTATTTTATATAGAGGGTAAATTGGTCATTGAATCTTTAAACTTATTTACCATTAAATCTTTAGAGATCTAACTACTACTTGATGATTTCACGATATTTTTGATTGTTTTTAATGCTTGTATGAGACTTTAGTAATTTTTTTTAATATTTTAGGATGTCAAATCCCTTCAATCAAATTTTTTTAAAAGATGTTTTATAATTTGAAATAGAAAAAGTATATTAAAAAAATAATTAATGTGACACGCTTTCTTGGATTTCAGATCAAACTTCCTTTTTCATTTTCCAGACAAAAGCTTTCATGGTATGGATTCTAACATTTACTGGCCTGCCTGGGAATATATACTAAACGTATGCTTTACGAACGTTATTGCCGCGCTGGTAAGGTTGCAGTGTGGGTCCCATTTTACTATTTTTCTAATATTTTCAATACATGATAACAATTACTTTTAATCTATTTTTTTAATACGTTGTGTGTTAAATGCCCCTAGGCAACTAGCTGAAATTTTAATTAGTGGTTCAAATTAAGAACTTTTTTTTAATTGTTTCATCAAGACTGTAAAACAATTTAGCCCAATTCATTGATAAAACATGCTCCTCAGATCAATTAACTATTATGGGAAATTTTGTTAATGTATCAATTGAATTATTTAACTATTATAGTAAGTTTTGACAATTTTATATGTCAATGTATCATGTAACTATTTATTAAGTTAATCATTTTAAGACAATAATTTACTTATGAAAATTGAAGCCCCACCTATAAAATAGAAGATTTTGCACTTATTAGAAGGATGAAATTCATTGTTTTCTTGATTAATGCATGAACGACATAAAAAGCTAAATTTCTATTGCAGTTATATAAAAGTAATCAAATATAGCTTATGAAATCAGTAAAGCTGTTTAAGAAAGAAATTAAACTTTATGCCCTATTAAATGATTCACCAATCACATAACAATTATTAACAATGAAAAAGTAATAAATATTTTGAAAGCCTATTATTAATATTAATATTATCTTTAAATGATATAAGATATTTTTGGATGAAATAATTTAGTATATTAATTATTAATTAATAAAACACAAAATTAAATGCCATGAATGTTGTTGACTTGTATTTATACCGTAGTGTAGGTTTGTATTTAAACAGTAGTTTCAGACAAAACCAAAAAAGAAAAATCTCATAATTTCAATAAAAGATTTTGATTTCTTGATGTAAAATTTTTTTTGATTTCTTTTTCGTTTAAAGCCCAGCACGTCATAGTAAACCCGTTAGTCATCTTTGATTATTGTGATCTTTACCAGCAAGGAAGCGTCAAAATTCAGCCTTCAACAGACAAGAAAAAGCAAAACAAGTGTCTCTTCCTTTGAACTTCTTGTCCTAGCAATCATCAAATTGCAAAAGAACTCACTCAAAGATTTTGGAGAGAATTAAATTAATTACTATCAGGTGTACTGAGCTATTAACTGATAGTTCTCTCAAAACTTTTTTTTTTTTTTTAAGTTAGATTTTCACACCTACTTTGATTTCCTTCCTTTGGGGATTTCACTTCGTTTGACCCATTTGGTTTCTCGGAAAGGGAGAGTGACGTTTCTCTAACTTCCGCGCACTTTCTCCTCGTTTCAGGCTTTCACTGAGTGCCCGTTACGAACATTTCTCAGGCGTCTCATTATTATTATTATTATTGTTTCATCACAGGCTTCCTGTTCTCCAACCAAGCCCTCCCTCCTCCTTTTTTGGGCGCCTAAAACCCAAATTTTCGAATTCTTTTTTGACCACATATAGGGATCACAAGTTGTGCTGGGAATTGTGGTTCTTCCTCTTCTTCAAATGGAGTTCGTCGGCAAAACTGTTAAGAAGGAGATCAAGGGGGTTGGGATTATCTTGGGAACAGTGAAATCTTTCGATTCATCGTCTGGGTTCGTGGAGATCGTTTACGAAGATGGTAACTCTGAGGAGCTTGAATCGTCTGACGTAGCTTCTCTTGTTCAAGGTGAAACGGAGTTAGTAAGGGTGAAGCGCCGGGGAAGGAAGCCCAAGAAGAGGCGTCGTGTCGAAAGGAAGCATGACACCTGTGGAAGCCCAGGTAATATTGGTGAGAATTTGGGTGTTTCCATGCTAAATAATTCCGAATTTAGGGGGGTTTCGGATGAAGATGTTTCTGCTAGAAGGAATTTAAAAGTAAATGGTGAATTAGATAATGGGGCCGGAGGGAATTTGACTTTGGGAACTGAAGTCATGGGCAATTTGAATTGGAGTGCCAGCTCTAACGGGATCAAAGAAAATCAACGGATGGAAAGCGGTTATGAAGAGAAATCCAAAGATAGTATATCCACTAATGGTAATTCCAGCATAACGGATTGTGCAAAAGATGGGTTTGATTTGAATGCTAGACTTAACCTGAACGAGGCCTTGGATCTGAATAATGGGTGTAGTTCGCATGTTAATACTGAGGATGGTTTGAACAAAAGGGGTTGCATTGATTTAAATGTGGATGTAAATCATGAAATTGATTCCAGCCCCAAGACGACTGATTTAGGTTGTCCAGCAGCTGAAATATCTAAGCGGGAATGTAATTTTGATTTGAATGTGGAGGTATGTGATGAAGTTAAGGAGACTCTGGGTGACACCGCTGGAGACGGATTCTCAGATGGAGGTGGTTTGTTTGGTAAAATGGGGGAAAGCCAAAAGTCAGAGACAGATATTAGTCAAAATTTTGTACAAGATGACAGTGTTAAAAGGAGTTTGGATGATATCACAAATTCAATCAAATTGGAGGGAATTGATAGTTTCCAAGAGTGTGCAGGTAAAGACACTTCTGTGAGTTTGATTGAGGAAAAGGAAGAAGGATTTTGCAATGGAGATACTGTGGCTCTTAACTCTGTTGTGGTTTCAAATGCTATTTCTGTCAAGGGTTGTGGTTCTGTGGATGTTTATCGGGATCATAGTCCTTCTGAAACTGGTATTGCCATAACTCATGAATGTCAAAATGAGCCAGGAAGCCAATACAAACAAGGAAGTGGCCGCAGGAAGAGAAGAAAACTATCGGATAATCTGAAAGCCACTCCAGAGACAGTTTTAAGGAGGAGCTCTCGCCGTGCATCAGCTCGAAAACGAGATTCAAGCCCTATAACATTGAATGTAATGGATGATCCTTTGATGTCTCCAGGACCCAGTGCCATAACAGAAGAAAAAACGATTCTTTCTGGCTCTGAGCAGTGTGAACAGTGTAGTGAACTATCACCAAAGCTGCAACTACCCCCATCTTCTCAAAATTTGAACTTAGATAGCATTCCTGGTCTTGATCTTTTTTCCATTTATGCTTGTTTGAGGTCTTTCAGTACCATACTATTTTTAAGTCCTTTTGAGTTGGAGGATTTTGTAACTGCACTGAAGAGTGTAAATCCTAATATATTATTTGACAACATTCATGTTGCTATTTTACAAACTCTTAGAAAGCACTTGGAATACCTTTCAAATGAAGGTTGCCAATCTGCATCCGATTGCCTGAGGTATATATTTTATTTTTGCATCCATTGGTCTTACAAATCTATTTGGTCTTGATTTTTGTGGATTATATACATGTTCTTCATATTTTTTCCTGCAGAAATTTGAACTGGGATTTGTTGGACGTGGTCACATGGCCCATTTATATGGCTGCGTATTTTCTGATTCATGGTTCTGGACTTGAAACTGGTTTTAATCTCAAGTATTTGATGTTTGGAAGTGACTACTACAAGCAGCCTGTAACTTTGAAGATTGAAATTCTTCAGTGCCTTTGTGATGATATGATGGAAGTGGAAGCTATAAGGTTGGAGCTTAACAGAAGATGTTTGGTGATTGAGGCTGATATGAGTTTTGATCAAAGTATGTATCTTGACATTTGCAAGAGAAGAAGAGATCTGAGGGACTTGTCTGGTGGCTTTTCTCTGTCCGAGGAGATTGTTGATGTCACAACTGACTGGAACAGTGACGAATGCTGCCTTTGCAAGATGGATGGAAGTTTAATATGTTGTGATGGTTGCCCTGCTGCATTCCACTCCAAGTGTGTAGGGGTTGCAAGTGAACATTTACCTGAAGGTGACTGGTATTGCCCTGAGTGTGCAATTAGCAGACGTAAGCCTTGGATGAAACCTCAAAAATCACTTCGAGGAGCAACCCTTTTAGGAATTGATCCACATGGTCGCCTTTTTTTTGAGAGCTGTGGTTACCTGTTAGTGTAAGTGTGTATATGCCTTTGTCCTAGATGTAGTCACTATTTACTTGCTATTATAAATGTCAATTCTTTCACTATAAGTGAATACACTGTATTACCATATAAATAATAATTCTTAAATTTGGGAGCATATCTAAGAGGGATGCATAATATGGACTTGCTTAAATCAGAGGTAGAGTAAATTTAGGAAAACCTAGGATTTGTTTGGATGGATGGCACAGGATGGAATAGAATGGATTGAAATGGCCAAAGTGGGTTGAGCAATTGTTTAGGTGTTTTATTTTAAGGATAGAGCGGAACAATAATGGACAGTCTATAAGAACACTTCTTGCCATACCCCAATTTGTGTTTCAGTCAATTACAATTATATCCTCCTTGGTTAAAATTTGCTAGAATCACAGTCTAATTATAAGGATAATATTTAAAATAATTTATAAGCCATTCCATCCCCTTAATGATTCCCTATCTTGCCACATCAAACTCTTAAACAGTTGAGTGGCATGACTTACAATTCTGTTACCTCATAAACTTCTAAACATGATTCTAGTCTTATCGTTGTTTTGGGGTCATTTGCAGTGAGCTAGTGACTTTTAATTGATATTGTAAGCTCCTCCCTGATCTGACTCACTGACTGTGGTTGCCCTGCGCCTTGATATGACAAAAGGATATTCTCTTAAAGACTTTGAGCTTTCAACATAATATTTGAACTTATCGCTGGGGAAAATGCCGACCACATTGAATTTTTGAATAATACAGATTTATAAACCTTTGTCAATTTGTATTGCTTCTGATCATCTTGCTTTCTGCTCATATCTGTTTTTGAAAACATTTCAGGTCAGATTCATCTGACATGAGATCCTCGTTCAATTACTATCACATAAATGATCTGCATGTTGTAATTGAAGTGCTAAAAGCGGCTGATGCTTTCTATGGTAGCATATTAATGGCCATCTGCAAGCACTGGGATATTCCTTTTAACTTAAATGGAGCAACTTGTCACCTGGAACTCTCAAATCAAAATGCTAGCAGGAACATGCATGTGAAGGCAGAATATTCTGCTCTATATCCATCTTCAGCTCCTTTTTCATCCTCAGAAGCATTCTTGGACAAGAATAAGGTTGCTGATCAAAGAAAGTGTGAAAAAGCTTCTACCGTACAACCTGTTGGCCAAGAGTTTCTCAAAGCTGAGAGACAGTTAGATTCAGTGATAATGACAGAAAGTCCCTGTGTTGCTTCAGAAATGTCATCGGATACCACACAAATGAGGTCAATCATTGGTGATCCTCTAATGCATGGACTCAATGATTCCAATAGATCTGACGAGGTCTTGAATCAGCCAGGAATACCAGAGAAAGTGCACAGAGTCAGTCACTCTTTGAGGTCTTCCCGCTTAGATGTGAGCCATAAGACAAACTTAACATCAACTATGTCCACTGGGAATAGATCTACTTTGGATATGCCTTGTGGAATTGACTATGTAAACTATTACAGCTTTGCTCGAACAGCCTCATTAGTGGCGGAGGAGTTGATACGTAAATCATCTGAAAAGATCAACAAGCATATTGAAATATCTGAAGAAGACTTTATTTCAGAACAAGCGAAGGCTATTATTAAGAAATCTACAAACTTCTGCTGGCCAGGTTCTCAAAATGTAAATGCAGCTGCTCAAAAGGAAAAATGTGGGTGGTGCTTTACGTGCAAAGTTGAAAATGATGACAGAGATTGCTTGTTTAACTCTGTGGTGATGCCTGTTTGGGAAGTGTCTAAAAGTGATTTAGTTGGGTTTGAACCAAAGAACCAGAATGCTCATCTTAGAGATGTCATATTTTATGTTCTCTCCCTTGAGGATCGATTACGTGGGCTTCTATTGGGGCCTTGGTTGAGCATCCATCATTCTAATAATTGGCGTAACAATCTTCTTAAGGCATCTGATGTTGCATCTGTTAAATTCTCATTACTGACTGTAAGGATATGTCTTCTGTGTCTCGCAGTTATTTATTGCAAAATATATATTTCAATAATCAGCTGTGTGACTAGCATATGTTTCCATTACGATTTATGATGTTCTTTTTGGTATCATTGGTCAAGTCATCTCATATGTAGTATTAGGATGATCCATGTAAAATTGTCTTACAAATTCTTGTTAGTGCTAATTAAGTGGAAAAAACTAATGTTCTATGTCAATATAGTTTAAAGTTTTAACCCTGCACATGAGTGAAAAACTGTGCAATTTTAATTTTCTTTTAGCACTATTTGTTGATTAATAAACGGTCAAAATTGAGATCATACCTAGGGTTTGGCCAAGGGATACTGAGGATCAAATCATAAGATTCAATTAATAATTTGTTATGTCTTACCATCCCATGAAAGTAAGTTTTGGAAACTTATATGGTTCCTTTCTGAATTAGCAAATTAGCTTCCTAGTACTCATTAATGTACAAGTCACTTCTTAGAAACATAAATTGAAGCAAATTTATTAACCATAACTAAGTATTGAAGTTATATTCCATATAAAATGTGTATCACACAACTTGTTGATTGGCAATTCTGTTCTTCGTCTACATAATTAATTATGCTTTTATCCTGCTATTGATAAGTCCGGGCTCATAATTGTTCCATTGTTTTGTGTTTAAGATTAGCCCATTTCATTTTTGGTAAAAAAAAAAAAAAAGGATTAGCCAATTTAATGTTCTGACTTTTGATTATAAAAATCTTGGTTAACTTTTAATGTTTAGGAGAAGGGGGTTTTCGTTGAGAATCCATTGATTTCATGATACATTTTATGTAATGAATACATGCTTTTAAGGTAACCATTACCATGGCAAGTGTGTTGTTTGATTACTGGCTGGGGCAGCTCTTCTTTTGGTTGAGTGTGTGCGCCTGTATTTCTGTTTGACTGGCTACATGTTGGCTTATATGGGTTATGTAATGGTTCTGTTGTTATTAAGGATGAAATAGTGGTTTTCAGATTAATTGGACCTCAAGCCTCATCAACACAAAAGAGTTCTTTCAAACCTGGGCTGGGCTCAGATCATCTAGGTTTTGGATTTACATTGACCTCTGGTTCATACTTAAGCATCCTTAATATTTTCTGCAGCTAGAGTCCAATTTGCGGCCTCTTGCTCTTTCGGCAGACTGGTGGAAACATGTGGATTCTGTTGTTACCATTGGTTCAGCTTGTCATATTGCAGCCAGTTCACGCACATCTTCAAGGCATATTATTGGAAGGAAAAGGGCTAAGTTCTCCGATATTGAGTCCAGTGCATCTTCTAATACAAGTGGTTTGGGAACATATTGGTGGAGAGGTGGTCGGCTTTCCCGTCATTTGTTTAATTGGAAGATTTTGCCGCACTCTTTGCTTACCAAGGCTGCTAGACAAGGTTTGCAAATTATTTTCACATGTATGTTGGTTGTAGTGCTAGTGTAAGGAGTTAATTAATCTTAATGATTATTTTGAATTTGACTGAAAGTTTGAAATTTTGCAGCTGGGTGTACAAAGATACTGGGTATTCTATATCCTGAGAATTCTGATTTTTCAAAGAGAAGTAAATGTGTTGCTTGGAGAGCCGCTGTGGAGACATCAATTAGTGTGGAGCAACTTGCTATTCAGGTATGATCACTTGACCTGTTGACTGATCTTGGCATCTATATTAATGTTGCTTATCTCTAATTTGGATCTGCCCATTTCTGGTCTTTAACACAGGTATTGTGGTCAGATTATTTGGGATAATATTTATATCAATTATGGTACTTTAGTTACACTTTTTTTTCTGTGATTGCTGTGCAGTTTCAAATTGGAGCTGATCAATAGCATTTACTTTAGTATTGTCACTTAATATAGTCTAAAGGACATCAACCAAGATATTCCTTAATTCAGGCTAATCAATCAATATTGAACTGCATTCCTTAATTGCTCCCCTAAATATTTTTCAGAAGGTCAATACAGTAAAGTACTTCAATGTATTGGACGGAAAGATCCGTACATATTTTTTGTGTGTTAAGTACCACCAGATAGATGCTAGTTGATAATTTTTATGCTGATCATTGGGGTAAGGTCTTACCGTAATAAATTTGGCAATGCTCCCAGTTGAAAAGAACAAATTAGGGAAAGCATTAATTTTGTAAGAAACATTTTTACCTTGTTTTTACTGAGATCTTTCACAAAAATGTTTCTCAAAATTGGCAGGATAAAGAAAATGCTTCCAACAAATAATAATTAAACTGCACCACATACCTGGTCCCAATGGGCTGCACTACAATTGATGACTTTTGTTTTTTTTTGGAATAACATGACGGTGGTGAAAATGTACCTACTCATGCAAACACCCAAACTCAGGCAATGGTTTGATAAGTTTTGGGGCTTTATACTCTTGCTAAACTATCATTAATGGTAGCTGATAAAATTGCAGTGATTGTCATGAATTAGCTGTCTCTTATATTCTAAGGTTCATTGGGCTATGGTGTGGTTTCAGGTTAGAGAGCTTGATTCAAACATTAAGTGGCATGACATTGAGAATACTCATCCTCTGTGTGTGATGGACAAGGAATTTAGAAAATCAATCAGGTTGTTCAAAAAAGTAATTGTACGCAGGAAAAGCACTGAAAGGGAATCTGCAAAATATCTTCTTGATTTTGGGAAGAGAAGGGCTGTGCCAGATATTGTTAAGAAACATGGTTCTTTGTTGGAAGAATCAAGTGACAGGAAAAAGTATTGGCTGGAAGAACCTTATGTTCCCCTGCATCTTATAAAGAATTTTGAGGACAAAAGAATCACTCGGAAGTCCAATGAAATGAAACCAGGAAAAGTTCTGGAGATTGGTGGATTTAATGAGAGAGCTACCCAAAAACGGGGTTTTTCATATTTGTTTTCTAGGATGGAAAGGCCTAACTATCATCAGTGTGGCCACTGCAACAAAGATGTTCCAACCAGGTATCTCTGGCAGTCGCCTTCACCTAGAAATGCTCTTGACTTCAGTTCCATATCCTATATGTGTTTTCTCCCATTTTCTAGTCGTCATTTGCAGCACTTGTTTATTCTAAAAACCAGAATATGCATGTTAGAGAAGGGATGAAAAGAAATGCTTGGACAAGACTGCAATTGAAAAGAAACGGAGAAAACGTTATATTCTTAATGCGAGTTATTGACTTGCTTAGTTAGGCATCCAATGTCTCTCTTTATAGTTGTAAATTAGGTGAAGTATGAGGGTTAATGCATGTAATGCAAATCATCCCACCATTCATCTAGGCACTTGGCTTAACCTAGCCATCATATTCCCTATTCTAAGAAAGAAAGCAACCAAAAAAAAAAAAATCTGAAACAAATGAGGAAAGTGCATCTAGGAAGACAATTTAAACAGTCTCTCTGCATGTTTTAATAAGAAACCCTGAGCAAAAGACATGAATAGCCTGCTCTATTAAGTTACATATTCAGAAATACGAGCATTTCTATCTTTTCTGGGGTTGAATTGTGTACGTGACATTGTTACCTTATTTAGCTTCTGGAATTTTCAATTGTTGTCGTTTTGTTTAGTTTTTTTGTATGGACGAACAATTCTATGATTGTTTTATGACTTATTTGTTTCTGCCTTTCTGGTACAGAATATTATTATCAGTCTAAAAAGTAACAGTTATTTTTGAACTTTGTCTTTGATGCTCAAGTGTGGTTGAATGTAATTTGTAATGTTTATGTGAATTGTTTAAATTTTCATTCTGCAAATTAAGGAATCCCACATCACATAGGACTTGAAACAAGGTTTTCTTTTTTTCTTTCTTTTTTTTTTTGGTTTTGTTAAATTATTTTAAAGGATACCCAAAAAAAAAAATGTACATGCTGCTCGTCATGTTTAATGGTTAACTGCAAGGATTAAAAACCTCATCAGCATTGAATTATATGAGACATTGGTTTATGGTTCACTGGTCGAGTCATGGTCAAACTAGTTGCTATTAAATTAATATATTTTCATTTTATAATTCTTTTGTTTTTAAGAAAATATTAAATAAGGAAAATATAACTTTCGGTCCTTGAACTTTTTCTCAATTGTTGATCTAGTCTCTGAACTTTGATTCAGAGCAACTCAATTCTTATAATTTCTAGACTTAGTGTAACTTAGTCTCTAAATCCTTAACTCAATGAGTCACAGGGACTTAGTTGTACTAAGTTAAAGTTTAGAGACTAAATCAATGATTGAGAAAAAGTTTAAGGAACTAAAGTTATATTATCTCTATTAAATACAATGCAGTAGTGACCAATTATTGATGAACATGTGTGGTTAATATAATATCATTCACGAATGATGATTTCCACTTAGAAATTGAGAAAGATATAAATCTTTAAAAATGAAACAAGTATGATTGAAACTTCAATCTAGTGAAGAAGCTATAAGTCTTTACAATCACCCCAAGTTCATCAAATGTTCAAGGACACACTTGTTATATAAAGGAAATGGCAAAGCAATTGGCACTCTTGGAAGACATGTTAAAGCTAAGCTAAAAAGATCAAGTTTTTAAAAAATACAGGTAAGTAACATGAAGTATAAAGATAAAAACCTATGATTTCATAAAAAAACCTTTAAGACATAAGTTAAAAAAAATCAACAGCGATCAAAGGAAAAAAGAAAGAGGAAGAGAACTCTGTTTTGTGTGAAGTCAAGATAGTATACAAGTCCCACATCATCAATTTTAAGGCAATGGATGGTGTGGCTTCTATATAAAAAGGCGGGGGCCCACATTGCGGCTGATCTTCAATTTGGAAAAAAATCAGATCTTTGGCACTTAGTCTTCTTTTAGTCTGGTTGTTCAAAAACCAGTCCAGTTTTGGCTTGCTCAGTTGGTCTTTGACTGGTTCTGTTCTAGTCCCATTTACATCATATTCCAGGCTGTACTAATTACTGGTTCCTAGTTCAACTGGTTGAATTGGCCAATCTGGCCTGGTTTTTTAATCATTGGTTGCACTTGGAGGTTCTTACCTTCTTGAGCACTTAATTTTATCTAGTAGTAACTTTTTCCCTTTCTTCAATTGCCAGGGAAGCTGTGAGCTGCCAGTACTGTAATGGTGAGCATTTTCACTTAAATCTGGCGCTTTTGTTTTCTCTTGATGTTTACTTGCTGCTTGTAGATGGAATTTGACTCCTTTCTTTATACCATTTCAATTATTTGGAATTGTGTCTTGAATCAAAATTTGTTAGCCTTTGCTTTGAAAAAAAAAAAAAATTCGCCTTTCAATGTAGACAATAAGATGTAGCCATCAATATGTTTACATGTATGTATGTATATATATATATTTTGATGCAATACATATAAGTTATTTTTGTTTATGATAGTACTTACATTTACCATTTTTTTTAGATGAAATTTGTTCATGTCATGTGTGGGTTTGGTCATGATTGATGTTGAAATCTCAGCATACTCCTTTTTATGATAGTTGATGTGGTCATTTCTTTTGTGGTTAAAGTTTTAAACTTAAATATAAAGCATTTTGAGATAATCTTCAATTGGATGCTTTGGGGAAGAAATCAGCTCGTGGATATAAATGTAAGAGTTAGTTGATATTGGTTATAGGGGGCGTTAGTGGTAGTTAGAGTTGTTGAGTAAGCCCAGGACCATATAAAAGGGTTCAGAGTACCCATGAAAGGATGGTGAAGATGATGATGAAGTGAATTGGGGGAATCCATTGCCGTTGGTGTCTGTTTAAAATCAATTTTGCATCATTGATAAAAAAATCTTTCTATCATGGATTTTATATGCAGAAAAATTTACAGTAATTCAAGATGTTTTGGTGTACCAATACTCTATCATAAAATGAATGTATGATATCATATTCAAGTATAAGAAGCCATCAACTACTTGATTGCACGTATTGATGTTATTGATTCTTTCTAAAAAGTGATCAACAGGGTTTTTAGTTTTGATTTGATGGTAAGAACAATGAAAAGTACATTCCTAGTCACGTGTGCGCACAGTGTTTACCATTACATAATGTATAAAAAGTGGGGAAAAATTCAGAACAAGGATTATAAGAAGTCACATGAAGCCTAATGGAAGTATACATAAAACAAAAGCTATTTTGAGATGATCAAAACAGTGAGGTAGGTATAGATTATGTAAAAAGAAAAAAATATTTTTAGATCTGCTAGATTGTGGTTTCTAGTTATTTTGGCATATCTGGCAGGGAGTCTCAAAAATCTTGTGTGGGCAGCTCCTGAACCTTGGTTTGGTAAAGGCCTAAATTGACACTTTGTTCAGGCGCTTGATATACGCTTTCTGGCAAGGCACAAAACTAGCTTCTTTCTCCTTGGCTTCTTTAAATCAGGAAAAGGGAAATTGCGTACACAAGGGAAGCCCTAGATTGATTTATTTACTTTGGAGTTTAACTTTTTAGGTATTTGGATCAGAAACTTAAATGTTCATTTCCACTGTTAGGGATATATATACACGGGTTACATGAGTTGACTGTACAGGGAAATAATAAACGAAATAAAATCACTCATTATCTCCCACAATCTCATCTAATTATATCCCTATAAATCTGGAGTAAATAATTCTTAATTAATTTTTAATTAACTCTATTTCGCACTCTCCCTCAAGTTGGATCATAGATACTAATCATGTCCAACTTGCTTTTGCAATTCTCAAAAGTGGGCTTATGTAACCCCTTGGTTAACGCATCGGTTGCTTGGAGATTTGTTGGTAGGAAGGTCAAACAGATGATCCCATCTCCCTAATAAAGTGCTTGTCGATTTCTACATGCTTCGATCTCTCATGCTGTACCGAATTTAAGGCCATACTTATGGCTGCCTTGTTTTCACAATACAATTTCAGTGACAAGTTTAACTTGACATAAATTTCATCAAGTACCCTTTTTAACCATATTTCTTCCATTATGCCTTTTGCTTGCGAAGGAGAACAAAATTTTGTCATTCTATCGAATAATACATGATAAGGAGGTAAAGGAAGTTCTTAAGAAAGTGGCAAATGGTAGAGCCAACGGACTTAATTGTATACCTCTTGAAGTGTGGAAATGTTTAGGTGAAGAAAGGGTGCGATGATTAATTAAATTATTTAATGTGATTTTACAGTGCAAAAAAATGCTTGACGACTGGAGGAGAAGTACATTAATTTCTATTTATAAAAATAAAAGGGATATTCAAAATTGTATTAACTATAGAGGGATTAAACTCATGAGCCATACAATGAAATTGTGGGAGAAAGTAATTGAGCATGGGTTGAGATTGGAGACAAGTATTTCTGAGAATCAATTTGATATTATGCCAAGTAGATTGACTAAAGAGGCAATTTATCTACTAAGGGGATTAATGAAAAATTATTGTTGTAAAGATAAAGATTTACACATCATTTTTGTTGATTGGGAAAAAGCTTATGACCGTATACCAAGAGAAGTACTTTGGAAAGCCTTAAAAAGGAAGGGAGTACGGATTGCTTATATTAAAGTTATACAAGATATGTATGAGGGGTAAAAATTAGTATAAGAACGTCTAGTGGTCAAACAAAGGATTTTCGTATAAAGATTGGACTATAATAGGGATCATCTTTAAGTTTTTATTTGTTTAACTTGGTCCTAAATGTTTTGATGGAACATATTCAAGGGAAAATTCTCAAATGTATGCTCTTCACGAATGATATAGTTCTTATAGCAGAGACAAGAGAAGAGATTAATTGTAAACTTGAGTTGTGGAGGAGGACATTGGAGTCGAAAGGTTTCCGTCTAAATAAGAGTAAGATGGAATATTTATATTATAAATTTGGTAAGAGATTAGTCGACAGTAATGGAAGTGAAATTGGGAGATCAAATTATACTTCAAGTGAAAAAGTTTAGATATTTGGGAGTCATTATTTAAAATGATGGCGAAATCAGTGGGGATATTTACATAGGATTCAAGCTGGATGGTTTAATTGGAGAAAAGCTAAATGAGTTATTTGCGACTGTAAGGTGCCTAATAAATTTAAAGGAAAGTTTTATCATACTGTTATCAGATCGGCTATGTTATATAATAGTGAATGTTGGGCTCTAACGGGACAGCAAGAGCATAAAGTTGGAATGGTAGAGATGAGAATGTTACGATAGATGTGCGGACATAAACGTAAAGATAAAATTCAAAATGAGCATGTACGCAAAAAAGTGAGGGTAGCGCTTATGGAGGAAAAAATGGTAGGAAATTGTTTGAGATGGTTTGGACATGTACAAAGAAGACAGCGGGAGGTACCAGTAAGAAGAATGGACCATATAACTTTGAGTCCTGTTAAGAAAGGTAGAAGAAGGTTTAAGAGAACACTCTTGGAAGTTGTTGAACGCGATCTCTTAATAATATTTCTAAAAGCTTGGTAAATGATAGAGCGAAATGGCATCTTATAATTTCTGTAGCCAACCCCACCTAGTGGGATAAAGGCTTGTTGTTGTTGTTGTATGCCTTGTGCTAGCACCCTTAACTCAGACTCAACACTACTTTTGGTGACAACTCTTTGCTTTTAACTTTTTTTACATAACTAGATTTTCCCACACAAATGAACAATAAATAGAAGTAGAGCTTTTGTTCGGCTGATGTCTACCCAAATTTGCATCAATGTACACTTTTATAGTTCTCCGTTCATGTCTCTGAAACAACAAGCCCTTCCTATTGGTACACTTCAGGTATCATAGAATTTTGTATGCTGCCTACATGTGTTTTTCCTTTGGTTCGCACATGTATTGACTAGCTACATTTATTGCAAACGCTAGGTCAATTCGCGTGGTTGAGAGATAGATAAGTTTCCCTATAAGCATTTAATATTTCTCTTTATCAACTAATTTTTCTTTCTCCTTATCCTCTTCTTTTTCAACTAGCTCGATTTCTTCATCAAAACTTTCTTCTTTTGTCGTTGCCTTATGTCTCTTCTTTAGTGTCTCAGCAGGTTTACACCCCAACATGCCTGTTTTCTTTAAGAGATCAAGTATGTATTTTCATTGAGACACATAAGTGCCTTGCTTTGATCTTGCAACTTCCATTCCTAAGAAGTACTTCAACTTTTCTAGGTCCCTAACCTTGAACTCTTGACTCATCAACTCTCTAATTCTTATGATTTCCTTACTGTGATCACCAAAAATAATTATATCAACAATATACACAATGAGAACACATCTCTTATCTCCCCCTATTTTGACAAACATGGTGTGATCCGATAGTCCTTGGTTATAGCCTTGAGACTTCAAGATTTGTGAGAATCTATCAAACCATGCTCTTAGTGACTACTTTAATCCATACAATAACTTCTTCATCTTGTATACTTGATCACCTCTCCCGTGATCAAAATTGGGAGGTAGAGTCATATACAGTTCCTCTTTCAAGTCTTCGTTTAAGAAGGCATTCTTGATATCCAACTAGTGTAAAGGCCAATCAAGGTTGGCTACTATAGATAATAACACCTTGATGGTGTTTAACTTGGCAACTGGTGCAACGGTTTCTGGTAGCGAATGTCATATGTTTGTGTGAACCCTCTTGCTACTAACCGAGCCTTCAATATTTCAAGACTCCCATCGGCTTTGTATTTTGGGATGAACGCTCACTTGCAACTCACAAGTTTCTTGTTCTTTGGTTTATTTACAGCTTCTCAGGTCCCATTTTCCTCCAATGCTTTCATCTTTTCTAAGATGGCTTCTCTCCATCCTGGTGATTTTAGGGCCTCTTGAGTCTTGAATATTATTTGGAATACTAACTGTATCTACATTGGCAATGAAGGCTTGGTACCTGGGAGATAATACTTCGTATGACATATTTTTGAATTGGATGCTTACATGCAATAGGCAAGTTTAGATCAGTTTTTGTTCCTCCCTGGCATCATCATTTACATCCTTAATTTCTGTCATATTCTCATCTCCTTCTGCAAAACCTCTTACTGGTTTTGAATCAAGGACCGCCTTAGGTGTGGAGGGTTTAGTACCTTGCTTCTTTTTCAATTTGTAGATTATGATCTCTTTTCCTATGGCACTTTTGTCCTTGTTATCCTTTACACCTACATTTTCTTTTGCTCTTGGGATAAAAGATTCAGGGACAGACACTAGCTCAAGTGGTGTGACATCAACAAGGGGGAGTGAGATCAATCCAAGGAATTGGAGAATACTTGAAAAGTGACTGAAATTCACTCTGAAGTCTCCCTTGAATTGAAGGAGCAGGATAAAAATGTTCATGTTCAGAGAATGTAACGTCATGACTAACAAAAAGACGTTGGGAAGATGGGTCAAAACGTTTATAATCTTTCTAAGATGAAGAATAACTAATGAACAAACACTTGACAGCCCTGGGTTCAAGTTTAAAAGTGGAGTTAAGGCAGACAAAAGATGAGTACCCAAGTATTTTCAATGGGAGATTAGTTTCAAGATGTTGTAGAGAATGAACTTCACAAAGGCAATCAAGTGGTGTGGCATAGGATAAAATTTTGGTCGACATTTGATTTATGAGGTAAGTAGCAATAAGAATGGCATCTCCTTAAAAGTATTTCAGCATATGAGTTGTAAACATAAGAGCACAGGCAACTTTTGGTAAGTGTTTATTTTTACATTCAGCAATCCCTTTTGTTGAGGGGTATTTGCACAAGAGCTTTTATGAACTAGGCCCTTCGTTTTCAAAAACTCACTCATAGTCTTGTTTAGGTATTCTACACCATTATTAGTTTGAAGAATTTTGATAGAGGTGTGAAATTTGTTTAGAACTATGGTGTAGAATTCCATGAATATAGATGTCACTTTAGATTTCTCTTTTATTAAATAAACCCAACACACACGAGTATGATCATCTATGAAGGTATTAAACCATATTTGGCTTGAGTCCAGTTTGGAACACATAAAGGACCCCACGCTTCATTATGAATAATAGAAAAGGGGTTGGAGGCTTTGTATTCAATGCATGGGAAAGAGGAACAGTAGTATTTAGCCAATTCAAATAAAACATTTTATTTGATGAGAAATGAGGAAACAAATGACTCAAATGCTAAACATTGGGATGTCCCATTCTTTTATGCCATAACCAATAGCAAGCCTTATGGTTTGAGCCCACTCATGATAGTTGTGTCTGTTGAACTTGTTGGATGGAAGAAGAGAGGACCCTTCGGCAGAACTCAACCCGTGGGGAGTTCTGCCATGGGTGTGCGTTAGAGGAATCTTGGCGCTAGAACCCCTGGAAGAAAGTATTGGGCTGCTCGACCGAGACTCCCCTTTTGGTCGAACATTGTCACATTCGATTTCAAGGTTAGAGTTGACCTTCTCTAATACCATGTTGGTATTTGGATCAGAAACTTAAATATTCTATTCCACTATTAGGGACATGGGTTACATGAGTTGATTGTTTAGGGAAATAATAAGCAAAATAAAAGCACTCATTAACTCCCACAATCTCATCTAATTATTTCCGTTGAATCTTGAGTAATTAATTCTTAATTAATTTCTAATTAACTCTATTTCACAAATTTATTGAGAAAATTACTGCATAAACTACTTACGGAAACTCTAGTTGAACCCTGGTAGCAACATTATGATGTTTTCACCTTGTGTTATACATGGGTTTAGTGGGGAATCAACTTGGTAAATGAGGAAGGCATTAAGGAATAGAGATTTCGTTTTTGTCCGTTAACCAATGATGGGTGAATTTGGGAAAATGTTTTTCAAGTGGCAGAGAAGGAAATTTTTACTTATTGGATTAGCCAGTTTGGGCAATATATAATTAGATAGATGAAAAAAAAGTTGTTGGATATAACATTAGCGGGATAAGGCTCATCGTTGTTAAAGGTGAAAAGTCAGTTAAACTGAATATGAGGATATATGGAATCTCTCTGATACCAAATGCTTTGTTTTTTATGTGTGAGTTTGAGTTTTTCTTAATTATGTCTGTATTTGGTCGTAATCCATTTTTGACTTCTATAATTTTGAATGTCATGTAATTTGCATTACATAATTGAAGCATTAAATTTAAATTTTTTGTTTTATTGCATATTATTCTTGCTTCACTTGAGATGCACTTCACATTATCCAGATGGATGTATGTTAAAAAACAAAACAAAAACAAAAAAAACAAAAAACTGATTATGTTACCTATTCCTACCTTTTCTTAGGGTGAGACAAGAAATATGTATGAATTTTCATTTGACCCAATATTTGAATTGTTCTATGCTTCTTATGCTACTGCTTCCCCCTTTCTTGGTGTTATGTGTTTCAAGAACTTGTACTCCAATATCTGATTATTATGGTATAATGGACAGGATTCTTCCATAAGAGGCACGCCAGAAAATCTGGTGGCACTGCTGAATTCACATATTCATGTCACAGATGCCTAGATGGGATGTGTGTAAATTCTAATTCTAAAAGAAGAAAACTTGACCCAAAGCTAGGGAATATTCAATCACAAAAAGGTCGAAAGGCCCCCTCAGTGGGTAGACCAGTTAAGCAAAAGGGCAGTAAAAAGCCATTGAGTAAGAGGCGGCAAGGAAAATCTCAAACCAATAAAAAGTTGCCACCAAGCGTACCTCTTCGTCGTTCAGCCAGGAAGACCAAATGCTTGTATGTGCAAAATAAAAGGAATGTAGGACGTAAAAAAGGAAAAAGAAGCAAATCCAAGAAGGTGACATCTAGGAAGGTCAAGGAAACTACTTCTCGTTCCAAGACGGCGGTAACTTTTGAGCGAAAGAAAAGAACTCATGTCTGTAACAGTTACTGGCTTAATGGTCTTAGGTTGTCCACAAAGCCAAATGATGAACGAGTACTTCTGTTTAAGGAGAAGAAGCATCTTGCCCCCTCAAAAGGTTTTTCTAACGCCTTTGATCAACCTAAATGCCATCTTTGTTGTGGAGATGGATGCACTTTGAGTTATATTGCTTGTGAAATCTGCGGAGGTAACTTTGTACTTTCTTTCTGTTCTTTACTTAGTAGTAAGTGGCTAGGCTGGAGAGGAGATATTATAACTGCAACGATATCATATTTAATAGTCGGGATACTATTTGAACCATGTTGTATAAAATATTAGCTGCTGTTTTATGGTGATTTTTCTTTATTAAATATGTATTGTAATGTGATTTAACTTACGTGTTAATATGCAGAGTGGTTTCATGGAGATGCTTTTGGACTCACTGTAGAGAATGTTAGACAACTTATTGGATTTAGGTGTCATGTATGTCGTGATAGGACTGCACCAATCTGTCCCTACAAGAATAGTAATGCCCTGACTCATGCTGAAATCAAAACTGCAACTGAGTGTGCAGAGGAACTACCTAATTCCGTTTAACTTCAGCCATTGAGTCAGGTACACTCTTGCAACCTCTTAATTCAACTGATTGGTTGACTTGGAGTGAAAGGATAGAACATAATGAAAAGGTATTACACCTGAATTTTACAATGACAAGCATTTAACCGTAATTAATGCCTTATTCTATATGCTGGGTTTTTTAACAAAAAAGAATATTTATTAGAGTTCGACTGTTTGTAATCTTTTCTTGGAATAATTTTCTTGCGAACAATTTTCACATTCTGGATCTGTTGATGAGTTAGAAAGGCTAGCTTGTCGTGGTTGATTGGTTTAACTAGTTAAATCAAAGTATTAAAACAATTATAAAAAACTGAATATTAACTACTTTTGAACTATAATTTTGGGTGATTAGGTTCTTCTCATTATTAATAATACCACTGAATTGTTTTGATAGGATTCTTTAATAAAAATGGGAAGTCTAAAAGCGCTAAACATTGCTTGTGAAGAATTGATACACAACTAGGATAACAATTCAATGTTGATCCAGGAAATAGGAACATGGATGAATTCTTTTGTTTTCTTGAGTTATGAAATGTTTTCCCCCCTTCTCTATTGTAAGGTGAAATGTCGAATACTTTAATATGTGAGGAGCTTTTTAGTGTAATAAAGAGTATTGCCTCGGGAAGTAGGAACCGTGAATGATTCCAACTAAATTTTGAGAACTGAAAAATTGTGAACATTCAAATTTGAAGTGATATTGCCTTGCCTCCCCCCGGCGGCAGCCTCCTTTCTATTTCTTTTTCTTTTCTGAATATCAGAAAGCATGATGCTCAAGAAATTTAAACATCATTCCTGGTGTCTTAGAATATACCGCCATTCCTATCCTCTTCCACCTCTTAAATACAAGGTGAGGGTGGCTCAAGGGTATTAAAATCATCTCCCATCTTGTTTTCTAGTCTTGCCAAATTGTCAGCACATCTGTTTGCCTCCCTGTAGGTGAACTTGATGATGATCCTGCTGTCTGAGATTAGTCTCTCTTTACCCTCTGATAATTTATCTGTAGGAATTATTCATGGTGTCATTTCTGCAGGTTATATTGATGGCCTTTGCGCTAACCCAATAGATTTTCAACTTATACCAGCCTGATCATTGCAGAACTTAATGTCCCTAACTATACCAAGTATCTCTGCAATTGCTGGAGGATGATTTTTTAGCTTTGAACGGAAACATGCAACCTAACTTCCTACATCATTCCTGATAACTCCTCCGCATGCAGCTGATTCTGCTCAACTTACAGAAGTGCCCACGTCCAGCCTTTTCTTCTTGTGGTATCTATTTGATTCTGTATCCTCCTCTCTTATCATTCTTAAAAGCTTTTTGTTCGACATGGTCACAGAAAGACTCCTGTCCGGCTTACTGATATCTTCCCTCACATCTTCATCAAACGACAACTCACATATCTGAACCCAAATTTCCTGGTATCCATACCTGAAGATAATGTTCCAACATCCTTTGTATTTGTTATCTTGTGCAGCATCCGATTTATAGTTGTCTAGCCATTCCTCTCTTTGAAGTTTGAGGAATATATTCTGTAATTTTGGATTTGCTAGAGGCTTCCAGAAATCAGAAACTCTGCAGCAATCTCTTCAGTATACAAAGGAGCTATTTCATTCATCCAGTTTGCTCCCAAATGGGCAATTTCTACTCTTACTAATCCTACCTGGTATCTCAGCTCCTGCGTATGAATTCTGTGATGGTTAAAGAGCCACCCAAAGAACGAAATCTCCTCTGTAACAACCCAGGCCCATTTTCTTTTTCATGTAGTGTCTCCTCTAGCTTGAGCTTCTTCAGCTAGCAACTCATGCTGATTTGACAGAGTGGTAGCCACCATTTAACCGTCTCCCACTCCACTCTGTCTTCTCCCTTGCTGCATATATGGGGGCTCTATTCTTACAATGAAATCAAGAACCCATTGGGGAAGCCATCACTTTGATGGTTTAACCTGTACAAATCCCACCATCACAAAGGAGTTTAGGAAATGAGCTACTTTTGCTTCTAAATCACCTGCAAAACACAACTGGTAGAATAAATATACAAGGCTCAATGTTTTTTAACTTGATTGACTTCCAACATTCTCCTTGATCTCATTTTCGATAATGTGACTTAACCTTTTCATACACCAGTAAATATATTAGGTGACATTGTATTTTTAAGGTCTAGTTACATGTAATTATCAAAATTTAAAAAAAAAAAAAAAAACTTTAGCCAGAACAATTGGTTATAATGGAGGCTGTAAAACTAGACTCTAATACCATCAAATAAGCGCTCAATGTTTGTGTGTATGTTAGTATGTGGTTTAATAGATGTTCTATCAAAGTCGAAAAAGCTATCCACTCAATGATCATATATAGCATGTTTGTACAGGATTCTCATATCGGATCTGGCTTCACTGCAGATTTGATGGTTTGTATTGAAAGGATATATAGTAGGACACCAGACACCAATTTCTTGTAGGTCCTTTTTCTTCCTGCAGGAGAATGATGCTCCTTCATAAGTTTCATTCAAATTGAAAAATGAAAAAGAAAAGAAACAGAGAAAACTAACCGGTTCGAATGTCATCATGAGGAGAGAAATTATTGAGGGATCAGAATCTTGTGGTGCAGCATGCTACGTTCTAGAGGGAAAGAAGAATAATGGCTAAGACAAATATGTTAGAGAGGCTGAAGGAAATTGCATTTGAGGAGGATAGCTTAGAGAGTTCATACATTAATTGCATTATTAATGATTGTCAATCTAACCCATGTCCATGTGTATTCATTGTAGTTACATTCTTTGTCATGTAAGTCATATATTGGAATGATATCCTAGTTGTCTTTTATTTAAACCTTTTGAAGAAATCAAATACATGATCATAGCATAGCTTAGCAAAGAGGAAGTATAGCTCTGCAAGAATGTTTCTGCAGTTATACCTGTTTATATACACTTTGATTAGAGGGGGAAAAATGGGAAAGAAATTAAAAGGTCACTTTGAGTGTTTTGCTGCAAGTGATCAGAAATCATAGGACCATTTTCTTCAGGTAAACTACTTGTGGTTGTCCAAGAGAACGTAGCAGGTGTATGAATGGCCTTCCAGCTTCTGAACTGCAGCCAAATCCAAATAAAATTGCCCTGTCAAGCTGATAATTGCAAGGGAAAATCACTCCCAGTTTTTATGTAAATAATCTAAATATATAAAAATCCTAAGAAATTATAGAATTATTTTAAAGCCCCAAATTGTTACGTACTGTTGGATAATTGTTACTTGTTAGTGGAGTTACAGCCTATTTGGATAGCCCAAGTAATCGATTATTTGGGTTAAATAATCGATTTCAATTAAAATTATTCAAACAGTAAAAAAATGATTAAAAATCGATTATGAGGCACGTTTTCCTGAAAGCTCCCTCCATCTGTTTTCTGTCAAAAATTTGTTAAAAATGTTGGGAAAAATTACAAAGACAAACTTAAAAAAAATTATAAAGAAAGCATATAATTTAATAAAAATAAAATTAAATTCTTTTTTTTAATAAAATTTAAACTTTGTATCTTCAAAAAATTAATATTTAGTTTTTAAAAGTTAAATTATATGGTAATTTATATAGCTAAAAATTAATTTTGATTAAATTATTCAAACATCTTTAATTTTGTTAAAATTAATTTTAGAAAAACAATATCCAAACACATTGTGTTATAACATAATTAATTATGATTAAAATTTATTACTTAATTAATTATTTTCATAATATATTATATCCAATTTTAATTCAAACGGGCACTTACTCAACTGATAATTAAGCAGTGATAATTAACAATTATAATTGACAACATAAGTGAATGACATATGATTACAGAATAATTTTATGATTTCATTTGGTTTTTCTAAATTTAAATTGCTTGTAGAGGACTTGAGAGTGATTTTTTTTTTTGGTAAATTGCAACGTGTCTAGTAAGAAATGGTTGACCTGTGTTTACACGCTTGCACGTTTTTTTCTCCAAGACATACAAATTTTAGCTGTGCAAAAAAAAAATGAGGGATAAACTAACAACACAAAAGAAAACCTTTGTGTGTGTGTGTGTATTTTCTTTGCCTTTAGCATATATTATATAATTTGTTTACATACATAAAAAGGGTAAGGGCAATTTGGATTATAAACTATAGGTTAGAACATATGAGATTCTAAACTTATTTTTTGTGTATTTTTTATCTCTAGATATTTAAAATTGTACTTTTTTCATATTATAATATAAGTTATAGTTAACTAATTCATGATTTATGAATAATATTAGTTAAAATTTTAATTTTTTTAAAATATTTATATCTTTTTATTTATACCCTCATTAAATACAATATAAAAGAGACTTAATAATAATAATTAAAATTTCAATGCATGATTTTTTAAAAAAAATAATAAATAAAATAGATATATAGTTGAAAAAACAAATACAAAAGTCACTCAATATTTTATATTTTAAACCAAATAAAATTTTTAGAAGCTGTTTTATATTTTGATGTGGGGAGAGTAACAATTTACCCCCTATTATTAGATTGGAGAAAACAATGATTACTTTAATGGTGTAGGACTCAAACATTCCGACAAGGGATTTTATTTGACCTTTGGTGACGTGAGTGTGGGTTATTAATGTTCCTTGAGATCTTGCAATTACTTCCTCATCATCGGAGAAGCTTTGCCTTTACTTTTCTACACGCCATCGACAACCAACAAACAAGAAGGGAGACAACATTAGCGACGTTGCGCCATGGTTGAATCTGCATCATTGTTGTCTGGAACTGGCACGACGAAGGTGAGATTGATGAGACAAAACAAGGTGTGGAGATGCGCTATGAAGGTGCTGTAAGACATTGTCATTACAGGTTGGCACCTTTTTAGGCTCATGAAGCAAGGGTAAACTATAAACAGGTACTCAAATTATTGCTTTGTTTCTTTTGGGTTTCATTATTTAATCACTAAGATTAAACTATGTCCAAGGTGACAGTGAGAGAGATGTTGGTATTTTAATTTTATATGGCATAATGGTGATGTGGGGCATTGAGCTTTTAACAAAATTTTGAAACTCGGGTCTAATTGGATGGTCCAAGCGATTCCCCTATCGATCGCTCAACACAATGGCTTGATTCAATCATTTGGACAACTTAGCATTTAGATTAGGTTGACCTAGGCGGTTTTAAGAAAAATGGAGTTAACCCAAAAATTGAAGCTGGTCAACCTAGTTCAAAGCCTTAAAAAAAGAAAACTTAGGCTCAGATGCTTGGATTCTCAATTTTTCTTCTCTAATATCTAGTTCTCTTCTTTAATTTTTAATCTTTCCTCCAGGCTCTAATCTTTCCTCCAGCCTCTGCCTCCAACTCTAGCAATCCAACCTTTGGCATCAAGATCGAAAACTTGTGAGTTGTAATATGACAGCATGTCTCTAGCTCTAGTGTTTTGCTTTGAGATTGCAAGCTCATGCCGGCATGCCTCTTCCTCTAGTTCCAGTGGTCCAAGCGTCTAACCTTTGACATTGAGATCCCAAGCAGCATCGACCAATTAATATTTTATTCAAATATTTGTGTATATAAATATTATTTTTATTTAATTTTTATGTTACTGGTTCTACTGCCGATTTAACAGATTGAACCATAAGAATAGTGATTCGTTGTTCTTTCTAGTTCGACATTCGATCGAGGTTTTGAAAACATTGGCTTTTAAACTATATAAACAAGTTATATAAAGAAAATAGTATGTCAAGACTCAAGAGAGAGAACATAGACTGAATGCTTCATGGTAGAACCTGATTCAATATATGTTATTTTGAAAAAAGGTGAAGAGCAAATATGTGAGAATCAAAACAGAAACTCGAAATGAAGTTTGTTTAAAATTGCAATGACGGAGTGATCTTCTCATGTGTATACTGCAAATTTGGATAGTTAAGTTGGTGAGGGAAGTGTATCTTCCATCTTTATTGTTAATCCAACTATTTTAATCATAGTCTTTTCGACAAGCACTATGCTTGATCCTTTTTGGTTGTGGGAAAACGAGTGAGATTCCACAAGTATATCCTGTAACTTTTGTTTGATGATCCTTTGCAGCTTCACTCAAAGTCTTCTTTGAACAAATCCCTATTTTTCATTATAAAATGATAAAATCCCATGCAACTTTATATAATCATATAATCAACTAACTTTGTAATCAAAAAATTAGATAACGGTTAGGGTTAAATATAAAACATTATTTGTCAAAAAAATTTGAGTAGACCATAAAGTTATATAAACTAAGTAATTAAAGAGTCAGGTCCAATCAACAATATAAACACAATAGTTAGCCCCAATCTCAATGAAAAGCCTCAACTAAATAAGCACGTTGAAATCCCGCTAATTACAAACCCATTCCATAAATCGTTAGTACATAAAGGCACAATCTCAAACAATCCCGAATTTTATAGGAACAAAATCAATATGTCCAAATATCTCGGAGATACAGGGTAGTTACTCAAAATGGAACACAATGATAAAAAACTATGCCACGAATTTCACAGAATTCTTGATTATTTGTAAGAACATTCCAAATTTTAAAAAAGAAACTACTATCACTCTATCACTATAAATAAAACATCAAATTGCAGAAGAGGGGACAAATATCACTAAAAAGGCTTGCACTTTGCACCCATAATTCTTAAGTTTATCATTTAGTGTTTTGTTGTCATTTCAAACTTGTAACCATTTACGTTTTATATCCTTTTAATAATTATCAAACACTTGTTTTATCAAGTTTTACATATCTTTTATATCTAGATAAACTATAGAAAGGGAGCCCGAAAATCCTTTGTTATCAATAGAAACTCAACATCTCTGACACGCTTGGTAATTTATTATTCCCAGTAACATATCAAAATTACATAAAAAATCTAATCATTCATAGAAGAGACAAACTAAAGCTGCAACATTCACAAAACATTTGAATGTACACACTCATTTTCATTTTTCAAATCAGGGTATTTTCATCATTTGATCACTTCAATCCTGAATTACTCCAAGCAATTCTGGCCCTCCATTTTAGTCTTATTTGATCCCTACTATCCATTTAAATTAATTTTTAATACTATATTTATTAATTAAAAATATAAAAATTTAAAATTTTAATCCATCTATTCATTACCAATTTGATTAATACATATTTAATTCAATAGTCCAATTTAATATTAAAAAATTTTATAATTTTATAATTTAACTATATAGATAGACTCTATACTTCAAGTATAATTTAAATTACCTAATTTAATATTACAAAATTTATAAATTTTATAAGTTAATCATTTAAATATATTCTAAATAGTTTAAATTTAATATTAAAATTTTTTATATTTTTATT